TATATGAAAACCACGTTTCTATGCTTTAATGGGTCTGCCATATATTTTGTTTTTCTTTCGGTTATGGAATACAATTCTAGGTTGTTTGTGCCTTTTTATTTTTCATCAACACAAATTAATTTACTCTTTGAACCTTGTGGTATGCATTCTAAATCATGTTGTTGGAAATTATGTTTATATGTAAATTATTGCATGTAAATCAAATATGGTTTTTGACTTGTTTGATGATAATGTCTAACAAGTGTTTGTTGAAATGCCTGAAAGAGTATTTAAAGAATTTAACCTTGTGGTATGCATTCTATCAGAATTACTAGCTGTAAATACGATACCTTTGAATGTATCCTATATATTCTATTAGAATTTATTCTATCAAAATAAAATCGATGTATTCTGCCAGAATGTATTATATGTATTATATCATATTCTATGTATTCTACCAGAATATATTAAGTTATAGATAATTGTAAGTAACATGTTTTTAACAAGTATTACTTTTTGTTGTATTTGTGATAGGAATGGCTGGAAGAAGGCGTTGAAGACCTTGATATTTTTTTAGAATATGTATAATTATATTAGAATGTAAGAATATGTATGAATTTGTATTAAGTTTGGATGTATAAAAATATATTAGAATTGATTCAAGAATTTTGTTTTTCTTCAATAATATTCTATTAGAATAAAATCCTGAAAGAGCATCATTATAACAAAATAATATTCTATTAGAATAAAATTCTGAAAGAGCATCATTCTAACAAATAATATTCTGACAGAATAAAATCGGTAAAAAAACTGAATTGAATTAATTAAAAAATTCAAATTTTTTTAAAATTAGGAGAATTAATCATCCCTAAAAATCCGAAAATTTCCTTTTATAAATGTAGTTAATTGTCCAAAATACCCTTTTACTTAAAATTGTGTGATTATATGCTACATGTTACCCCATTGTAATATCATATACCCTCAAATCATGTTTATTGATTAATTTCATCCATTGGTCCAGATTTGTGCATTCTGGCACACAATACTTAGTAAAAACAAAATAACCTAAGCCTATATATATATATATATATATATATATATATATATATATATATATATATATATATAACTATTGTGTGGATATAAACATTAATATGGAGCAATCATTTTAAAAATATTAATTAATTATAAGCAAGGGTATATTTGTAATCATAAGATTTAATTAATAATTATAATTAAATAAAAATAGAAAACCTATCATTATGGAATGTTTCCTTAACTTTCTCTTTAACCATATTTAACTTTGCACATCTTTCATTGAACTCGTCGGCAACAACTAACAACCAAATCTACAACCTAATACCTCAATTAGATGCCGACCACTTGCACAGCCATCCATTGTCAACCATCTTCCTTCATCGGCGCCGCCCTCCTTCCCCACATCAAATGGAGCCGCTGAATCTTTTCTCCACTACAACGGTAAGCTATGACTTCTTTTCTCCACTACACTGGATTTGTAATATTGCATATACAATAAATAATATCCTGTTAGAAAAAAATGGATGAATAGATTGCTTGGATTCTCTAAAAATCGTGATTCACTATCAAATTGAAGTATTTCGATGGTACATATCGAACACTCAATTGGATGAAATTCAAAGAATGAAATCTGAGAATGTATATGAAAAATGTTCTTCAACATGTACCAGAATATTGACCAAAAAACGGATATATCAATCATGTCTGAAAACTGTCAACAGTTACAAACTATCATAAAACTATCAAACTGTCATTAAACGGATCTCAGGGAAAAAAGGGTCAACTTTCTAAAATTGGATTTTTGATGCAATTTTTAATATAGCAACATAGTCCAAAAAAAAATCGCGCTGACCTGGCAGCTCAATCCCAGTCAGGGGCTCTGCCCCTTGGACCCCGCCAGGGGCTTCCGCCCTTGGGACCCCGCTCCCAGGGGCGCTGCCCTCGGAGCCCCGTTCATTTAGCGGCTTCCCCTCTAAATAACAATGTACTTTAAATCTTGAAAAACTTGAACAAGTGTGCACTCCTACACCATCCTAACTTGTTCAATATTCAACAAGATCACTTTTGGTCAACAAATTTAATCCTATTACACTTAAATAATATTTGATGATATAAAATCACCAACATATCCAAAATTAAATTCATATCATATCACTTTATTTAAGCAAAATTGAGATCAAGTTGGTGTTACACCATTACCGTCCCCTCAATTGCTTCATCCAAACCAACATCTAAACATGGAAGCGCATCGAGCATGTAGGAAAACACAGGGCTCCCGACGAGTCGGCAATGAAGTACGTCCTTGTATTGAAATTAAATCACACGTTTGTAAGCAAATTATTCTCATTTTTTATTTAATTGTGAAGTATTTCGTTTTATTATTTTCATTGTTAACATCTATACCAAAAGCATTTTATTATTTGCAGGATAACGCTTCTGGGGATGAACACAATGGAGATCAAAATTTCGGTAATGTCAAGGATTCTAGTCGAATGAAGTTGTGAAGAAAAAAAGAAGATGTGGGACTTGCTTTGAACTTCTGTGTTTTCTTTAGGTTTTCTATTCTGTTTTTTTCGAGTCATCGGTTTTTCTAACGATTTTTTTTTTAATCTTTTAACTGTTAGTGCACGAAACCTTTTTTTCTAAGATTCTTGTGGAATTGAAGTTTAAGCAAGAATTCTGAGAGAATATATGAAGTTAACTTACCTAATATTCTGTTAGAATTACATCAAACATGTTTATAATTATGGTAAAATATTCGTTTCGAATTGAGGTTAAATGTGTAGTTAGAATGTAAATATATATTATATTAGAATTACGACATATGAATTCGTAAGTTTTGGTACAAATAAAGTTAGAATGTAAATAAAGTTAGAATATAAGTTAAGATTTGTGTGTAAAAAAAAAAATCTTCTGAAAGAATAAAACATAGGTTTTCTTATAGAATTAGATTATATGTAGTCATAGTTGGAAAAATTTTGAGAGAATATAAAATAATATTTTGTGGGTTAAAACGTATATATTAATTATGGAAGATTTAATAAATAAAGATTCATAATTGTGGGTTAATAAGTATAGGTTTTAAAATACATGCATATGTATTCTCCAATTTTAATGGTTTTGAATGTTATTGTGCACGACAATATTGGAATAACAGGATCAGCTCAACAAATTAACTTGGTGTTGCCTAATTTGTAGTTAGTGTAATTTTATGTTCTTACCCTTTATTCACGACTTCATTTAATTAGAATATTTTTCAATTTTTTTTTATATTTAATTAAACAAATAAATGATTTTACTAAACTCTTAATCAACAATCATCCATACATCCATCCAATACTTACCATCCATATTATAACCTAACTAACTAACTAACTATATATATATATATATATATATATATATATATATATATTATATATAATATATATATATATATATATATATATATATATATATATATATATGTGTGTGTGTGTGTGGTGCGGTTCGGTTTTTTGCAGATTTTACTAGACTAGAAACCGCACCGCACCGAGTATTTTCGGTTTTTGCAAAACTAAAAACCGTATTATCGATTTTCATTTCGGTTTATACGGTTTTTTCGGTTTTTTTAATTTGCAGTTCGGTTTTTGTTCACCCCCGCTTGTAGTCATCAAAAATAATTAAAACAAAATAAAAACTCATCACATGATTAAAAAACATATCTCATTACACACCAATTCCCAAATTTTACAATTAAACTAGTTGTACAACACTTCACAAATATTACAATTGAACTAATTGAACCCTACCTTTAGGTACAAATAACAAAAGAAATTCAATAGTCTCAATACCCATTGAGGCTAAATAATAAAACCATATTGAAATATTTAAAAATTAAAAAAATGTAAATAAAAAGAAAAAGGTGAGATGCCCTCCATCAAGACATCCAATAGACTAATACCCCCACAATCCCTATTCTTTAAGAAAAAGAATCTAAATAAATAAATAAATTTGGAACCCAATTAAAAAGTGGCAAAAAGACAAGGAAGAGACATAATTACCCTTTCTTCTTTTGAAACCAAAGCATAAAGAACTAAAAGAAGCCATGTTATATTAAAATAGTCACATGCCAATCATGGGACCACACACCCCCACCACCAAAAAAAAGACTTCAAACAGGTCACGTGCCTGCATGGGCGCATTTTAGCAGCAGCACCCCCCCCCCCCACTCCCATTATTCATTTCATTCCTTTCTAATTACCAGATCCGAGGTCACTCACCTCTCATCCGTACCACTCACCGATGCCGCCGCCGCCGGCGGAGACACCATTGATGCCGGTGACCCGGTGGTGATGTTATCCGTCTTGTTGTTGTTGTTGTTCATGTTTTGTTCATGATAAACTCTTCTCAATCTTTCTATCTCCTTCTTTAATGCTTCTTGATGAGCTGCAATTAATAATTAAGTACCAAAATTGAGATTTTGGTGTAACTTTTGTCTGAAGTTTTCGTAAGATTGTAATCGACAAATCATTGATTTTCGTTAACTAATTTGAAAAATTACCATCTTTGAAGATCTTGTCTTGAGCCAAAGCAGCAATTCGTTGTTTAAGCGAGCTGTTATCAACGTTTAGAATCAACCTTTGATGATCTAGAAATGCGACACGTGGTGACAATGTTGATACTTCCGTCTTCATATATGAAATTATAGGAAAATGTATTTAATTTGCAAATTGCAATGATTCATGCAATAAATGATCTAGATTATGATTAAGAACTTAAGGTGATTAATTACCTGTAGAGTTGTTACACTGCGTTCGAGTTCAGAAATGTAATGCAACTTCCTGACTCTTGATCTCTGGGCAGATTGACGATTTGCTAATATCCTGATGATTAATTGTAATTAATAACGTGATTAGCATCATGAGATCGTTAATCACACTGAATGATTGATAATGATTGTGTGATGTTTATTGAATGCAACTCGATTAGCTTGTTGTTCAAGCAAGATGTATATGAGTAGAATTGAGATATTTATGATGAGGTACGACTGAGGAGTTGTACTTTATGGAATGTAAATTGTACCTTTTAACCCTTTTTGGATCAACGATGGTGCCGCCGTCGCTGGAGAAAGTAAACGGAGGCTTACCGGAATCTGTGTCGTGTTCGTATCCCGCTACCGTCTTCCACCTCTCCCCGGCTCACTCTTCAGTTGCGACGGCGGTTGTTCCTGAGGCGGCGATGGTCTAGGTTCGTCATTGTCGCTATTTTGTTCCGATGGCGAAGACGATGACCTCGTCGAGTGAAGATTCGCGGCGACGTCGTCGGAAAACATGGAGCTAAGCTGCTCATCATCCAAACGCTCAAATCCGTTATTATTTGAGCAAGGTATCATCGAAGGATCATTGCTATTAGAGTTACGACATTCGTTAATAAACGGAGTTTCAACGAATGCAATCGGATCGCTGGCGGATCTCCGGTGAGCGTTCCTCCTAGCTGAAGAAAAATCAAGGAAATCGTCCATCCAGCTCGGCGGTTGCGAGGCTGACATCGGCATCATCGGCGGCATCGTCTGATAGGAAAATGACGGCCACTTCTGCGCCATTGTTGGCGCTTTTGGCGGCAATTGCGCCATGCAAAATCAAATTCCACCTTCAAAAACACTTCAAAATCAACAGATTCCAAAACTAAAAGCTCAAAAAAAAAAAAAAACCTTGAAAAACGATCTATATTTAGGAATATATCAACAAGTAATGATGGAACAATTGAGATTTGGTGGTGAATGTAAATAGGGGATTGTAATATTGTATTGTTGGAGGGAAGAAGGAAGAAGGAAGAAGTAAGAAGGAGGTGAGTCACATGGATGAAAGGATTATGACAGCTAGCAACAGCTAAGTGGGTGTGTGTGTGAGAGAGAAAAGAGTTCCCAACGGTTTCACTGGGAAAATCCGCGGTAGTTTAATGGGAAAACTAACTGGCGGAATCTCAACACCACGTGCTGATGTGACACACATCTCTTTCACCATTTAGTTAATACCTATTAATGTCTATAAAGTTCTTAATTATCCTCTTAATTCACATTTAATTATGTTTGTGTTATTTGCGTGAAAGAAACGTGAATGAAGTCACAAATTGGATTATAGGAAACAAAACCACGGAATTTTACCATTTACACATTCTATATATCGGTTAAAATTACATTGTTTTTTGAAAAAAATAATTAAAAATAATTACCAATTGGTTGATTTTTGATAAAGATGTTCATAAGGTGTTATTTTTAATAAAGATGTTCATAAGGTATCTTAATAGCAGCACCTATCATAAGGCGTCTTAATAGCAGCATCTATCATAAAATTTTATGAAGATTTAGAAAAGGCTTTACACAATACACACCTTTAGTTGGGAATATTTTGAGTCACTTTTAGGTCCAATGGAATTCGGTCAAAAAGATGTTTGGGTGTAGGATGCTAGTGAACAGGAAAATGAGAAAGAACAAAAAAAAATATAGTTGTTATGATATTTTTATTTTTATATAAATAAAGAAATTATATATATATATATATATATATATATATATATATATATATATATATATATATATATATATATATAGAAAGAAAAAGATTGGATCTTTAAAAAAAATTAGGTTTTATGTAGCTGTTAATTTTGTCTCCCTCAACACTCCCATGCATGGGTGTCAAGTGTGACTATGATTTTGTGCAACTACACTTAGGCATTGGGGAGTGCTTTCGAGAGGACTCAATATTTGCCGAGTCACCTCAACAATCACTTTCCCTCTATATCGACA